TTGAAATTTTGATTGGCTGACTGATGGCCGGAGGTTATCGGCAGCTTGTGTAACCTTGACGGTCGCTCCTGTTTCTTAAACTATCTTAAACATGCAAGTTCAAATGTAACTAGAACTTTGCAAAAGATCAACCGCAGTTACGTTGAAATAGTTCTTACACTGCGTTTTCAGTCGAAAATAATTAGAAAAATAAACACAATTGTGTGAATCTTTTAGAATTTTACGCTTTTCTTTATAGTTAAAGTAATATAAAATCATTCGATTTATTATTTTTGAATTTTGCTGATAAAAATTTGATCATAGTAAAATGATCATCATAGCTGACATAGTTTTGATTTACTTAGTTGATTTTACCACCCCAATACGTATGGTATTTGTAGCAATCTATAAATTTTCACAATTTATTAAACATGCATAATCTGTACAAAAATATGAACATTTATCTATTACATAATATGCTAATGAAAGTCTGATATTCTAATCATCCAATGTACAAAATTATATTTAAATTGAAATCGTATCAAAAGATTAAAAGAAATCAATTACATTGAAAAGTGTTCGCTGCGTTTTCATGCCGCGAATCACAAAGTGCACGTCCAAGTTGGAGTCCAAGCGAAAAAGCAACATTACGCGGAACAGAATTACCTAAAAAAAACATACATACATAAGAATCAATATATCATTTACGAATAATTAATTATAATTTATAAATTTACCAATGACTTTATATTGATCCCCGATTGTTCCACATAAAATGTCAGAGTCTAAAAAACCTGCAAACAATATTAACAAAAGTAAACGTAATACGTATATATATGTATATTATTGTTATATAAACTTACCTTGCGCCCGCGCCGCCTCACGAACACTAACCATTCGCGGTTCCTTATAATGAACAGCTTCTGGATAATATCCACTGGGGCCTAGTTTGGTTTAATAATAAGAGTTATTGGTTTAATAACAAGAGTTATTGGTTTAATAACAAGAGTTATTGGTTTAATAACAAGAGTTATTGGTTTAATAGTAAGAGTTATAAGTACTGATTTACTTACGCATTGCTGTACATATTGTTGGAAATAAACCACTTGGGTCAATCCGTTGACAATATCTGTAACGTTGTGCTGCTTTAGGAAACTTTATCAATTTAGCATCATAACTCGGTATAGCGTGTAAGTCAGATATAAATTTGTGCTTCCGAGCGTAATAATAGTCTCTTGCTGGTGGGAATGTTGGTATCCTTCGAAGAATTTCTTTGGTCTTCACACTCATTTGATAAGTCTTGTGGTCCGGGAATGAAGGGTACCAGATTTCTCCCTCACCGATTGGCGGAAGATCACTTATGTGATCCTTTATTGAAACCATAGGAAAACTTGTATAAGTTTCAAATGTGTCATTTTTTATACCCTTATGAGTAACTGGTGGCATCGTTGGTAAGACTTCTCCTTGAGCTTTTAAAAGTAAAAAAAAAAAATTAAACATGCGATATTTCTTGAGTATTTAACAGCAACATGACTTACCGGCTCCCCATAAAAACATTCTATAACGTTTTTGGGCGCATCCCATTCTGTCGGCTGATACTACTCCAAACCGGATTTGATACCCAAGCTCAAGAAGACATCCAATTAATCGATAAAATACTATTATAATATAAATATTAATATTAGAGATAAATATTAGATATGTAGAAGCTTTCTATTTGTTGTGTACATCAAAAATTTACCATCCGATGACGTAATCTTCCGAACATTTTCCAATAATAGGTATCGCGGATGGTAGTAATCCACAAAAGAAATAACAGAAGCAACAAGAGAATTATTTCTTTTTGCCTTAAGATTATGCCGTTGTCTATTCATATAAGAATATCCTTGACAAGGTGAGCCTGCGAGTATTATTTCAACATCACCCTATAAAAAAAATTGTTAATTTGAATAAATAAAACATAAGACATAATATTAATAATAAATAATAAATAACATACTTTAGATGGAACTCGAGCTTTTGGAACGCCCAAAATTGCATCAGAAAGTATATTATTGACACTCTGGTTCAATATATCAATATCATCATGTTGAAGATTGTGCCTGTAAGTTTTTATGGCAGCCTCGTATTTATCAATAGCCCTATATATTATCCGAAAAATTTTTAATTGAATGCACTTAATCAAATATTTATGAAAGCAAACAAACATACCATTGGCAGTGTGTGAAGCCTGCATCCTCAAATCCACGACCCAATGAACCACCTCCACAAAATAGATCAAGACACTTCAACTTATATGTGTTGCCTATTTTAAAGGAATATTTGGGAAAATTCTCTGAAAGTTTCTGTGATTCTGATTTAATAGGATGAATTGTTCTAGTTATCCGGTCATATTTCCTTGAAAAGTAAAACTGACCATGTAATATATAAAGTTAGAATTAATGTTTGTAAAAATTAATAAAAAATTAAACGTACATGATTTCCAGCACCACGATGTTGAAGATTAACAGGTATTTTTTTGCCATATTTAACAAACTCAACATGACATAAGCAAACTACATGCTGAAATTTATTAAATTCGAAAACATATTCAGAATATAAAACTTCATTTATCGGTGCCTTGGGTCGTTTTACAAATGTTTCGCTCCATCTGTAAAATCGTCTTAACCAGACAGATTTTCTATCTAAATCGAAACGTTCAATACAGCAAACTGTGTACAAATCCAAAATGTCTCCTTTAAGCGGCATTAATAGAATACAGTCGTTAACATTATACTTTTCAATAAACTCCTCATAATAATTAGGTTCAGGTCTTTTACAACCGCATATCAATCCATCCTCTTTAGGAAGTAAACCCGGATGGAAAGACAAGAATGAATCTTCAGTTTCGTGAGAATATTGATAACGACAGAAAAAAGAGTAATCGAGATCTAGAAAAATGGTATTAATGAGTTACAAAAACAATTGTAAATAATTGTAAACAATTGTAAATAATTGTAAACAATTGTAAACAATTGTAAATAATTGTAAATAATTGTAAATAATTGTAAATAATTGTAAATAATTGTAAATTGAAACTATGAACTTTAAACATTTGAACAACCTGGACAACTTGATTTCCCAAAGTGCACATCAACCTTGCGGATTATATTTTCAAGAGGCCACGGTTCCTGGCACTCACAATTGGACGAGAAAAATAATTCTCTTGATTTGTTAATACTAACATCCTTATCAAGTTTTCTGAGTATAGTTTGATGGCGTGCATATAGCCACAGTAATCGAAATAATCCGCTTCTACCTCTTTGTATGAACGTAGTTATTATACTATAATAATAAAGTTCTTAACTATAAGATTGTTAATATCCGTATCGACCGTGCACAATCTATTACATACCAAAACCAACGACCATCAGTAGAACCGTCAGTAGCAACCACCTCAACTGCATCTCCTACTTTAAGAGTTATATCATCAACTGTAACTTGTTCAAAACAATTCGGTTCTTCAAGCGGATTATCGAATAACCATTGGCTTTTATAATTAATCTCTCTGAATTCATCTTCATTCTGAATGTATACAAGCGGGATACATTCACTTTCGCTGATCGGCACTTAATAAAAAATCAAACCAGATTACTACATGATCACATTATCGTGGAATGAAATCATTCTCACATACCTAAAGGTTGTAGTAACTCTGGGAATAAGTCATTAAACCATTTATACACTCTTGGTGTAACAACTGTCTTTTCAATTCTATTTTGCTACAATATATAATAATAAATTAGAGCTGATTAAAAATGTGATTAGTACATTTATGTAACACTTACACCTTCAATGCAAGAATATTTTGCAGGGCAATATTCATCTGATTACATTATCGTTATATGTTAATAATAATAATAATTATGATAATAATAATAATTGTGATAATAATTATAATAATAATAATAATAATAATAATAATAATAATAATAATAATAATAATAATAATAATAATAAAATAATATTTTACCTGTAAAGAATGGCAAGCACGAATAATCTTCTCCAAGATTGTATGCTTCATGCCAAATTAAGTGCATGTTATTTGCAACAACTGATCGAAAATCTGTATTACCGTTGACTTCACTAAGCCATTTTTTAAAAATACTATCATCTTGTCTATGTTTTGTTATCCAGTCAAAAAATTCGGATCTAAAATCTTCAAAAAGAACATCCTGATTATTATATATATAATCGAGCACATATTTCACCAAATGTGCTTTCCATAAAAACGCAATCCAAATATCATGGTACATAGGTTGTGGTGTGCGGAGTGCATACCACACTTTGTCATTAAGACTTGATTGGATCATGACCTCTAAATTTGATTCTTCCAATCCGAAACCACTAATTGAAAATGTTCTGAAAGTTGCCTATATGATAAAAAATCAACGTTATGTTTGACTAAATAAATCTGCGAGAAACAATTGTAGACCCATACAAACCCTTTTACACGCCATATTCTTGTCATCTTCAACAACATTACCATCCCAAAGTATATTTCGTTCAGTACCCTTTTCCGGGAAAAAATCCACAACCTTTAAAAAAGTTAATTTAGATATCGCGATTTTTGTAGTATAAACTACGATTATACAATTTACAAACCTCATTATCCGAGATGTCATAAAAAATAAAATCATCGAGGTAAAATTTTTCATAATCATTGTCGGACATCGAATCACCAGAATTTGCAGACTGGTAAAAAATTTTTGAATAAGAGAATTGTGTAGATCAAAAAAAATACTTGTAAATATATAGGTTACCATCAATGCATCTAAACACTCTTGTTCACTATAAACAAGTTCACTTTCTGACATTTCCTTTTTGTATAATCCACGAACTTTTTTTCGCGGAGGGATATCAACATAAACCTCGTTTACCTGCATTTATCCAAAAGAAATTGATTATTAAGTAGAGAGTGGCTTTACAAACTACGAAAATATTTACCGAGGAACGCTTCTTGGATTTAATAAGAACGGTAAGAGTATTAAGTGTTTTTTCCAGCTTTGGGTCATAATGTTCCATTACAGGTTTGTCCTCCGAGTTGTCATCATTCGCATCAACATGATGATTTTTCCGCGGACGTGAAAAAGATATTTCACTCAAATCATCTGAATCATCTTCACTGCTTGAAGATTCCTATAAAACATGAATAAAATTTAATTTGACATATATGACCAATAACTATTGACGATAATATAATGACTGTATTGACACTATGAATATATAATACGAACATCGCATTCTCTGTCTTTAAAAAATTTTTCCTTATTTTCGTTTGGTTTCATGTTTCAGCACACAGTCGATGTAATTTTTCACGCGTTCAAGAGTTTTTGTGCCGTTAGAATCAAATAACAGTTAAATTTAACTTTTTGAAGAATTAGAGTGTAGGTGATATCATTATAATTTTATGATTTTGTGTTACTGTTTTAACTTTTTTTTTTTTTGGAATATTTACATCATTGCATGATCGACGCGTTGCATTCTCGCGTTTATTGCGATAGGTTTAAGATTTGTACCATGTTTGTGTTTTGTGACGCGAATTCCAGTTATACCTCACGTGATAATAGGCAGACTAACGAAATACACAAGTTTTAAATTGTTTTTTTCTAACTTTAATTTATAGAGTTGAAAATTTTTGAATTTTTTAAAAAAAATGCACCGGCCAATTCGATTAAAGTTATTGATTTTTCGGCATGATCGGTGCGTATATAAATTACATTGTAATTTGAAATATACACAAACTAAACACACTGAAAATTTAATAATATTGAACGTGTCGATATTTACATTGTTAAAATTATCTGTAGAACAAGTATCATATGGGAGCTTTTCAATAGAAAGGGAGAAATTTTTCTAAAATTTAAAATATCTCAACAATTAGGCCCGGGACACCTTATGAAAAATTAGCCGAATGATTATTCTACCGATTCGGCATGATCAATGTAACAATGGAGTAGTCTAGAGCCAGTTACGTATGTATGTACGCACTAACAATTGGCAAATTGAAACCCACGTGAAACATATAAGGCTCTATTTACGGGCAACAGTGACAATTATGTATACAATATTGGGCAGTAGAAAATTAAACCAATTTCCTGTTATTTTGTATGACATGTGAAGTTTTTTCCCGGGATATTTTGCACAAATGATTACGTAATCTCATGACAAAAAAATTCACATCATCATATAAAAAGTCGGATAATAAACGTTACATTGATCATGCTGAAATCAATACTTATCGAATCAGCAGTTAGGGCTGTTAAAAGTCCGATCCTTTCGGTCCGGACTCAGTGAATAGGGACTTCGATTAGGACTCGGTCCTTGAGTCAAGTCCGTGC